TCTTCTACCCCGAAAAGATAGCCCCCCTTTACATGCAAAGTCTTGTCCCCAGGGCTATCGCGATTATTGAATTTGGCACCGAGGGAGATAACTGCGCGGTCGCTAAGTACAAAACAACCAAAATGGCGGACAAACGAAGTATTTTGGCGGTAACTTCAATTTTCCTTGCGCTTGCCTCTTTGGATGCGGTTTTTCAGTGCTGTGGGTTCTTGCTGTCGTATCCCCTAATAGAAAAACGCCGACAAGAGCCCAGGTACAATGTTGCAATGCGATGAATGAGGCATGTACGGAGAGCCATTTTGTCGCCAAGGGAGAATTTGGTGGAATCCTGGTCGCACAGAACAGTGGCGAAGGACGCTTTTCGTTTTCCCTGTGAATTCTTTGATTTTTCACGTGACAAGCCTTCTTCCACATCTTTCCAAGTCGAGCGGTTTTCTATGGTACTCTCGTCGACCAGTAATTCATGATCATCTGTCTTTTTTCGAAATGTCGACACTGTTGTCCTCCGACTGTTTCGAACGCTGTTCAAACAATTTGGCCACCACAGAACGGCGAAAATATTCCTCGGGCTTATACGCGCGCGAAGCCATTACAGAGTTTCGCGGCAATCTGACAGTAAACTGAACCCACAGAAGTTGACACTTCTAGGAGGGTGACCCTACCTCAAGTGTTAACATGGCAAAAAGTTGGCCCTCGCAGGAGGGTTACCCCACCAAGCAGATAGGGTGACCCTACCTCTCATGTAAACCAAGCCGGAAAATACAATAGGCAAGGGTTACCCTTCTAAGAGGGTGCCCCTTCTAGAAGGGTCACCCTATCTCCATGTAAACAGCCCCTTACAATACTAGAAGTCTAGAAAAGTTTTATTCAGTCCCCCCTACATATTTTATTTGAAGTTTGCTTAAGAATCGACAATTTTCTCAGAAATATACAGAAAGTGAGTAATTGATGAGAGCCGTGATATCGGTTAGGGTCGTTAGAGGCGATATTCAACACACCTCCTGAGATATTTTTTGATGATCCTTGATCGCTCGCTTTGCAAAAAGGGCGTGTTGACAATAATGAGAAGACCTGAGAATAGGAACAACCTAGGAAGACTAGGAAGAGAATATTCGGACAGATTTTTTTCTCGATTAAACGCAACTTAAATTTAATTTTTATGGACTACGAAAGAGACTGGAGTGGGGTTTGAAACTGCCAAGAAAAAATGACACCAATATAAATGTCAAAGTAGATAGACAAAAGATAAAAAGGACGTAGTCAAAAGATTATTATTTGATTAATTAATTTTATTGTCATTATTTTCTTTCAGTCAATGTTCTTAAAAAGGAAATCGTCTTTTCGAAAGATTCCCCGGTGATAAATATCACAGTTGCTGGTGGCGAAGAACAGCAAAAGAGCAAAGTCAGCAAACGAAAGCCAAGAGGTGGAAGGAAAAGGTCAGCTTCAAAGGTAGAGGACGACCACCTTGTAAAGCGCCTAAAACAGGGCGAAAGTGTTGAGCGAAATCAAGGACAGAC